AGTTCCATCTACCTTGTAAATTGCTAGTCCTTTGGACATATCCTTGATTAATCAATTAGAAATTATCAAAATGAACGAACATAGTCGTTCTTTTTATTTTTCTTCTTTGGGATAATTATGGACACTCAGCTATTTTGCATAGGGTAATTCGGGGCAGTCCGTGCAAATCGTACGGAATAGACAGAAAACAACTTCTGCTGTCTTTTAGAAATCGATTTTGATAGCCTGCTAAACGGCACAATTGTTCAGAACCATGAGCTCTATCATATATGTAAAAACCAGATAGAAAAAGTGTATTTTGATCGTTTCCTAAGAGAATATGAAAACTGTTGTTTTTGAACGGTCTTTCGTTCGTTAAAATTAAAAGAAAAATTAAATTAGAACCTTAATTGACAATCAGCTCACGAACAAGTTCAGCTTTTCATAAACCTCGTACAATTCTCTTCATGTTACATCAAACGTTTTTTAAAAACAGCCCACCTAAGGTCAACTATTTCCCAGTGAAAAGTCAAGAGTCAGGATTATATCTCAATACAGTTTGTAGTGTATCAGTATAGAATTTCTTTTATTACAATTTCTGCGCTTTTTGCTGGTCGATATTTCAACGGAGACTTGCCACTACTCGACTACGTTACGGAAAAAAATGATGAATCCTGACTACTATTGTTGAGCGAATTTTGTACGAAGTTCTAGTGGTATGAGAGAAATAAAATGCCGATAGGGTAAGAAAATGACAGTGTTTCATCTGAATTTATGTGCCGAGCATTTTTTTTACTCCAGTTTGCATCTAAATTCTTTAGCATCTTCTTAAGATCATTAATGAGAATAGTATTTCTTTTTGCGAAATTTCATTGATTTAGTTTCAAGCTATGAAGCAACTGTTATATTTTTACCTGCAATTTTAAGAACTGTCGCAACAGCTCTCTGGCCAACCTACTCTATTTGACACAGTAAGTCTAACGGGAAAAGCTCTAAACTTCTTAACTGCACCACGCAGTTTTAAAGTACAAACTGCTCTCTCTTTTTAATTGCTTATAATGAGTATAAAATGATTTGAAATAATTTTATTGGTCAAATGGTGAAGAAGTTCATGCTTTACAAAAAGCGTGCACTTGAAGGAGATTTATTTCAATCGCTAGTGGTTTTAATACACAAACTTCCAAGTCCACCGAACGTTTTGAGACTAAAAAAAAGTTTTGACTATTCCACAGGCCCGTACTAGGGTTTTTGCGAAGCGCCGGATCGATTCTTTTTTCCCTTCAGAGGTCGTATGGAATTTTTTTTCTGCTTGAGCGCAGAAGTGTTGTACAAACATCTGCTCCACAGTGGGCATTTTTCCATAGAGCAGGCGGACATCTGATTTTTTGAGTTAGAAAATTATTATTTTAGCATAATATGGTCTTACTATGTGTCAGATATTAGCAGAAGTAAAAAAGGCCGAATTTGAAAAAAAATTTTTTTCGACAAAAAGTTCCTTAGGGGGACCCTTGCCCTGAATTTTTGTCAAAAAATGTTTTATTTGTAAAACTAACAAACTATACATCATTCGACGTAGTTTTTCACGGTGATTCCGAATAGGACTTTATGTTATGGAAAAAGTGCTCTTATGAGGGAGAAAAACGCGAATTACCTCGAAAACCCTATGGGTTTTTGTAAAATCAATAACTCAACTTAGAAAAAAAGACGAGAAAAGACGAGATCATCATAAATACACGATAGGCTGAGGAACATTTTCATGTAGTTAGAAGGTCTGTTCAGGCTTAACGCTTTTTAGCGCTGTCACTGCCCTGAGGTTGTCTCATGTCGGACCGTAGTAATCTAGACTACTAGACCTTTTTTCGTTTCGTATAAGATACAAAAGGAGTACCTTCTATTATCAGGAGATGCAATAGATTGTGCTGATTCCGAATATGTGCTTTGTATAGGGTAATATTGCACGTCTGTACATAGAAATAAGAATCTTTGCAGATGTGTCATAATTGACGGTGTTTTTGTAAATGTTCGTAAGTTAACTTACTCATCGAAGGAGTTCATTATATACAATCATTATACACAATTCGATAGCGCTTTTGAAGGACTACATTTACTACTGTTCGAATTCAAAAAAGCTCACTTGTCGATTTTTGCTCAAATTTCCGCCTGAATGCCCACTGTGTGCTCATATCAACTGGCAACTTTTTCTTTTCAAACAATAAACAAAACAAAGTAAAACATTTCTACTAGAAATATTAAGACTGTTCATTCGATACGAGTAGTTACTGAGAAAAAAATGTTCAGCTGTAGGAAAAGAAATCTTTTTCGCTTTTTTCTTATCACCACGAAAAAATGCTTTTCCGATGTCACTCATACGCAGTTTTATTTGACCACCATAATATTGTGAGCTGACTCTACAGCACCTTCGGGACAGAGTATGGACAGTATAAAAACACAGGAAGTTTGACATTATTCAGCAAGGAAAAAATTATTTCTTCGAAAGTTCAGGGGGGCCGATCCCTCAATCCCTCTCCCTGGCTACGGACCTGCTATTCCAGTATAAAATTCAAAGTTCAAAGCATTAGTTTATAGACCGAAAAATGCAAAATTTCGTGCTCTATTAGACTGTGTAACCTACAAAGAAATCTGCTACTTCTTTTACCCGAAAAACTAGGGAATATTGGTTGTCGCTAAGATGGCCGAAAAATAGGAGAAAATAACCTTTCTTAAAGACACAGACAGCGTTACGCGATCCTGCTGTTTTGTAAAACATAACCTTCGCGTAGGGCTAGAACAGTCAGTTTCTAAAAGAAGTTTTCTGAAAACTATTTGAAAATCCTCAAGAAACCTTCTGGAAGTTCACAACTTTCTTTGAAAAAAGCCATTCCTGTTTATGATGAATATTTGTTTTTGAAAAGCATTAATTTTCTCAGCAAGATAGTAGTATTGAAAAAAATCTCAACGTACTTTTTTTCTCTATATTCTAGTGATTAGAATAAAATAAGAAAAATTTTTTAACTTTCAACTCCTTGGAAGAGACAGGCTTGGAAGACAGACGTTTAACCTTGTGCTCATGTTCCACGGCTCCCGAGTTTCGTTTATGTTTTACAGATGCCAACAGAATGTTGAGAACAGTAGAAACTCCCTTTGCTAGAACAGAAACCGTTATCCAATCATTTATCTGCCAAACAGCCCGAGACTGGAATTTAACCCTACCCGAAGCTGTTGTTACATCACCCATAATAAAGTCGTTTAAAACAAAGCTCAAGACCTATCTTGAGCTTTAACTGTTTTAAAATAAGGTGGCAAAATTTACAGGTTCCCAGAACTTTTTTTGCCTTCTCAGTAGCATGCTTTTGTTTTTGTTTATGTAAAGATGTACCTTTTTTTGCTTTCACTATCTATCATCTACTTGTGGCTACTAAAATATAAATCAATCAATGTCAGATTTAGTATTCTAGGCGCAGTTTTGCATGGAAAATCAGAAAAAATTAGTGTTGGAATCAGGAAAATACTAGATGTGAGAAGAAGTTGATTTTTAAAAATTTCACTCATTTTTACCTAGTTCGCGTTCATCCAGCCTTTTTATTTTTTTCACAAGAAAAAAAAACTTCTAAAAATCTAAAACTGTTGTTTTCCTATACAACTCTATAAGCTCTATCTAACCAACGTAAAAAAAGGAAAAAAACTTTTACTTCAAGTTTAAATCTGCGGCATATTACTGTTTTGTAAAGAATAAAGTTTGCATTTTTTTATTATAAAATGGGACTATGGACTGTAGAACACTAGTTTAATTAGAGAAATTTATCTTTCAAAAGCGATCAGTTATTTTTGGGCCATCCGTTAAATCAGGGATGAATATATTAGTTTTAAACAGTTTAGTCTTGAGACTTATTGTTTATCTTTATAAATTCCGCATAATAAGTCACCAATGATTGTCAAGTTTGAATTTGTCAACCTCAAATGAAGAACGACAACAAAAACTGCTTTAGTAAACTAAGCGTATCATAACTGTAACTATCGTCTATTCACTTTTTCTCCAACAAAATAGTAAACCCTAAATTATAAAATGTTTGATATATTCTTTGCTCTTTCTAAGAAAAATCATAAGCTACATTTCCTGAAACACCGACATTGACAACGTCTATTGGCAGAGACTGTTTTCCTCTGATTCACAGGTTCGATTTTGTGCAATTGCGTTGATAAAAAAGTCCAGTGATCTCTAAAATAACAGATTTCTTGCATATAAAAACTGAAAAATGTGTGAGATTCATGATAAAGTTTTATGAATAATCTCTAATGAATCAATCACGTGCATGTATGATTCTTGAGTTCTCTACTTGAAGAACCGTCAATTAATATTTCTGAGAAATATTCGTGGAAGGAGTTAATTTAACAGACACAAATATCTTTGCAACTGTATGGGTTACAGAGGCATGAGTAGTTCCTGTTTTTTAAAACCGAATCGATTCGTTTTATAAAACATTCGAGCCGAATCAGACCGAAATCGAACACATACAACATATTCTATCCATTAAACATCAGCTGTTCAAAACTGAACTAACTGAACGTCGATTATTACAATCTGAAGCAGAAGTGTACACATTTTTTTTTACACTCTACTGATCTATTTACAATGGCTTTTTTTGAAGCGACAACTACAACCAAAAACAATTTTTCATACCTCAAACGGTATTGTTCATAAAACTTTCATGTTTACTGTCGAATAATATTTACATAATCTAACAAAAAGAAGACAACGCAAGAAAGAAATTCATAAGTGGACATTAATGTGAGTAATAAAAACGGTGTGGTTTATACGGATGATATATATTACAGTAGACAGATACGATTAGTTGTTGATGTATGAAGAATTTAGAAAAGTGTGTGAGACACTGATACATATAATAAATAGTTAAATGTCGAAAACGAGTATAAGTATCTATCAATGATTTGCTAGTAGATGATCAGGTTCATTGAGAGTAAGATAATTAACTATTACATCTACTCATGAAACAATCAAATAATTATAGAGTATTCCGAAACTGTTTTTGTTTTGAATTTGAATTCATTAATGTTTTACATTTACCATTTTCATTTGTTGGATGTTGTCGTTTTTCTCTTATCGATGACGAATTCCTTTTAACCCAAAATAAGAGAAATATCCATGGATCAACGGATGAAGGTGCCACAGCCATTGTACCGGCAATGGCATAAACAATTTCATTTGGAACAAAACCCCGATAAGAAATTACCAATTCTAAACAGTAATATGGCAAACCGAAGAGTATCATACAGCTAACGAGTATAATAATCATCCAGAATGTTTTTGATTTTGCTCGACCATAAATTGTTGAATGTGCAGGAAATGAAATGCGTTTTTTAATTAAAGTTTTATTCTTTTTATGTGAATCATATGACTCTATGTGTCCGCATGTGTTACTATCACTGTTGACACTACCATCGGGCTGTTTAACTACACCATAGATCTTTATAGTTGATCGACGCTCTTGTTGCCATAATTTGAGAAATATCAATCCATAACATAATAAAATTGTTAAACTTGGAAGAAAATAAACCACAATAGATATAAATGTCAAATAAATTCGCCTTGCTAATAAATTGTTTTCAAACTGAAATAAAGCCATACATTTCGGATGACCTTGTTCCATACGAACACTAAATATTACACTATTGGGTAATGATAAGAGAAATGCCGTGAACCACGCTGCTGAACACAAATACATTACCTATAAGGCAAAAAAAACAATAACATACGAAAAAGGTGACGATAATGAGCTCAACTTCAATAGTGTCTTGTCTAGAATTATTTCGATGACCGTGAAAATTATATCGTTAACTATGAATATCAGCAGTACAACTTACTCTAATTTCTCTTGCGTTTAACGGCTTTAGAATAGCCACACACCGATCGATAGCCATTGCTACTACGATATTTGTCAATGACATCATGCTAAAACTTTGAGCAAATTTAACAATTCTGCCTAGATGAGAAACGATATACATAGTTGAAAATTAGATAGAAAATTTTTTTAGTTCACATACAAAGAATGTCTCCCATTGTCCAATCTTTGTTCTCTTGAAATTCCCAATAGATTTGGGAACTTGTTGCTAGAATGTAAACAGATATATTTGCTGAAATTAAATTGATAAGTAGACAAAAAATTCTTGATGATCGTCTGGTCCATTGTGCATAGCAAAATAGCCATATTAATATGAGGGTACAACCAATAACACCGAGAATCAATAATATGAACAATAATATGATGCGCGTACGACGTACTAAATGACTGTTATCCATAAAATCTAATCTGTCATAACTAATGTTCATTATAATTGATTTAGCTTGAGAATATTAATAATTGATTTGAACAGTTTGATCTGAAATATACACAAGCAAAATCAAAATAAACACAATTAAAACCATCTCTACTCTTTATAAATCATATTTTCTCTACCTAAGGATGATGCAGTGGTTTCGATTTTTCGATGAGAACTGATGTCAGTACCTAGTTGAATAAATACCAATTTCTATTAACTGATCAGAAGAGATAATAGTTTCGAGCAGAATTAGTGCAGGATCTGATCGAGTTTGATGAGGCTTTAACTGGAACTAATCGAAATCGGCACATACCTGTATATACTGTGAAACTTATAATCTTTTATACAAGCACATTTGGCTGGTGATTCTTTTAATTTATCTTATTTATGAGATATCAACTACTACTCTAGGGCAAATTATTAATTATAAATTGCGTGACTAGAATGCGTGTAACATGGAAATCCACCAGTGGTTCGTCTCTCATGTGTATTATCTTGCTGTTACAACAATTTATGTTTTCAAAACGAAATTTAGAAGAAAAGTACAGTTCGCGCATTTATTACAGCAAATTTTAACGGCATACGATGAAAGTAAAAAAAACGTTTCATTACATTCTTGTTTGTGTGTCTAAGATATGTTAATGATTGTCAATGTGACATAGAATATGGACCTGTGGGGCGGAGAAGAAGGGTCATTAACTTTCAATACTTTCACTTTTACTCATCCTTTTTCTCAACGATTACGGTAAGCGATAAAGTCATTGAAAAAAGCTGTAGTGAATGTCTATTTGATTCTATTTTAATCATTCATAGGTTTTAAACGTGCAATATTCTAAACTGCATACGTAGCGAACAAAATGTAAGCCTAAATCGGATGTACTACGCAATGGAAATAAAATTAATTAAATTTTAACTATTATTCATTTAAACTATTAAATTTTAACGATGAGTCATTTGCAACTTTATTGTACAATTGGTGAGAAATAATGAAAGTGACTTTAAACAAAATTTGATTAGCACATCTTGTTCTCCGTTGTTTTCTGAGTCTAGAACCCAAATTTCCCGACTACCACATGCGTAGCGACTGAGATAAACCTCAACAAACTTCGGCAGGTTCCGTTCTCTAGGTTTTAGGCTATAATGATCTCGAGGTTGCTTTAAAAGCGGATATATCATACACCATTCGATAGGTCTCGTAGAGAGCTATCGATTCATACCATATGTAACTTAGTCTGACCTGCACAGCAAACGTTAGATCGTTAAAACCCTAATTTCGAATGTGTATTCAAAAATAAAACCCAAAGCTTGTAGCCTACAGGTGGTCAGCCACTTTGGAGAAACTCAACATCAAAACTACGTAAATTTATGGATAGATAGGTTCAGCAGAATATAAGGAGTCAAAATTGATGTTATAACTTGGTTTTTGACTAAAAGAACCGAAAAAACTTTTAGAGTAATCTCGATCTACATTTCGCGGTATATTGTAATTTTTTCCTACTTAGTTATGTGCTAGAGACGGGCAATTTGCACCACTTGTACAACTTTTGACACTCTTTCTTATGGATCAACGCTGTTGCACTCAGGCAAATTCTTTTGCTGGCAATTGCTTTTTGCTTTTCGTCCCTTCTTTTGTTAGAAAAACTTACTTTTCTCTCAATAACTCATCTAAAAACACGTTTTTTTCGACTTTTGTTGGGTTTATCTCGGTGAGTTGTTGAGATATCGAGCTTAGATTTTCTGTGGTAGTGGAGTAAGCAAACAGCGATAAAACAAAAAAAAGAATTTTGAAATCCGTTTTCAGAAACCGGAGTAATTTTAAAAATACGACAAAAACTCAATTGTACAATAAAGTTGCAAATGACTCAACTATATTGTTGCTAAGAATAAAGTTAAAATAAGGAAATAAATGATCATAATTAGTACTTGCTGTGTTCCCGGTTCGACAAGCAATTATGTTAAGCACGTTTTACTGACTACAGTCATTCTCTCTGCCTTTACTTGCCCTTTTGCTGTCTTTCCCCTATTGCCACATGCCAGCAACAAGACCTGTCACATTTTTATTTACCTACCCACTTTTACTCGGTTCTCATTTTTCAAAACCTATCCCTCATAGAGTTTGAGAGCTAGGCACTTGATTCTTACGTGGTTAGATTCCCTGAGTGCTTCTCTTCAAAACAAGAAAGAGAAATTCTGACCCTAATTCGCAATTTTCTCCATCAGAACTCAATTTTCACGCAATGAAAATATCACATTCGGAATCAGCGTCGAAAATTGAGTCGAATGATATATATTTCAAATTTTTTTGTTGATTTACATTTTTTATGAAGGTCTCAGTAATTCCTCGACGCGAAAACTCAAAAACAATTAAATTGATCGAATAAGATAGAAAAAAGTACACCATTCGACTCGATTTTCGACGCTGATTCCGGATATGATATTTTCATTGCGCGAAAGTTGAGTTCTGATGAAGAAAATTGCGAATTAGGGTCAGAATTTCGATTTCTCACAGTAAAGTCGACTTTTCTCAGCGAGGAAAAGGAATTTAAAAAATTTTAAAAAAACGAAAATAAAAAAACGATTTTTGGCCGATTTTTTCCCCGACGTGCTTGGCGGATAGAGGCTTGGATCTGAGATGAATCTCGGACCATTTTCTGGTTAAGTTTTCAATGCCAAACAAGAATATCATAGTTAAAATTTTCGAAGGTCTAACGGGACTTTGAAAAATCAACTTTCAAAACAAAGGCGAAAACCCGGGTTTTTGAGCACCCTCTAGTTTTGTCGATTTTTCGACTGGAAAAAAACTTTCAAAAAATTAAGGGAACACATATTCATGATCCTCAACATCTCAACTATCCGAATATGTGATAAAAAGAGAAAAAAATCCGCTACTCCTCTGCGCTAGGTGCATCTTACTTTTTCTCATTATTATGATGAAACATTTTTTTAGGATAAACGTGTTTGTTAGTGGAAAAGGCTTTTTGTTGCTATATCTACATCCGTGGACATGTCTTACCGAGCCGGCTATACTTAATATTTACAGAAAAGAATGGTTAAATAAGAATACTCTTTCAATCAAAATGATTTGTAAAACATTAGTCGGTACTTGTAATATGTGTGCAATGGCTTAAAAACAGCACTGGTTATTCCATACCTAATCTATACGAAGATGACCTTAATTTACTCGAATTAGGCCCTAAATATTCTTTCTTATGGTCTGCTGTCAAATATAGCGTATCTGCTATTTCTTGGTATCAAGTTTTATATTATCCTACTGTGTTTATGTGTGTATGTTATTTATCCAAAGAACTCTAATTGTATAATTCTCTTATTGATGGTAAATAATTCGTTTTACTTTAATTATATTTTGTTTATTTTTTTTCAATTTTGCCGTAAGAGACTCCTACAACGGATAGTTATAAAATATCTATGAAAGCAAGAAAACAAAACAAAACATGTGAAATATTCTCTTCTAATTATACATAAAAGATGCTAAATAAAACAAGTGAACTGTACACTAATACGAGCAATTTTCTTAACAATTTTGTTCTTTGTCGCATATTCTAATTTTTTTTTCAAACATCCGGTAAAATTCAAATTAGAAACAAAAAAAGATTATATCCTTCTTCTGTGAGTACATTTATTGTACGATAGTCCATAAATAGTTCAAAACAGTAATTTCTTCAAAAGTAGATAAATATATCTATATTTAGAAATTCCGGTTTAAGCTCTATTTTATAGTAAAATAATAATTGTCTTTTTTGGTGGGGTATCATTTTTATACAACTCTAATTGAAACAATAATATTTCATTTTATCATGGCAGTAGTCATTTTAATAAATAAAATTATCAGAATTTGAGTAGACTAATAGAAATAAAGAACTGTTGGATTTTAGTAGATAAACTGCTGATGAATCGTGAACAAGTATCAAACTGATCAGGATTTAGGGTAAAAATAGACAGGCTGTAATAAAACATCTTTAAAACGTCAGTCTCACCCTTCTAACTCTAACATAAAAATCAAGTGCGTGTGTTTCTGAAAAACTGGTTTTCCAGAAAACAGCATCTTCAAGAGTCATGGGGGGAATCCTTTTAGGCTTTTTATTAGTTCGATACTCTCTATCGATCGACGTATGAACGAACCAGATCAGAAAGTATCACTTGGATAGGTTTCCTCGTTAGTGTAGTATCAAAATCGGCTTGTCGAAGACAATAGATATTTGTCTTCGAGGCTTCTGTGTATTTCAATGAAGTATCTCATTTCATCCCAATGCATAAAGATGAAAAAAAGGAAATTTTTAGTATAGAAGATTGTGCCTTAGTTAGCTCAAAAAACGCTCTTGTTCGGTTGATCCACCTTTATTGATGATCCACCGACAAAAATGTGACATTCAGCAAAGGTTTACGGCAATATTGGCTAGAGATTCGTGCACTAATAACTGACAATTTCCATTGTCTTTTGAAATAATCTTCCAGGTTTTCCAATCTATGCGATGTTTTGTTTTTGGTGTATGTGTACATACACGCATCAAAAATTGATTGATTTCTTATCGAATCGTTTATGTGATATCATTGTGATTTTCTTTTTATTAGTATCAACAGAAAGTGTTAGTTTGACCGATTTAATGTGTTCAATTAAATATTAAGACTAACAACTAAGCATGCATTGTAATGATTTTTAGTTTAGAGTATGTTTGGCAACTTAGTCTCTCCTTTCACAGATATTCAGAATGTATTTTGTAGGAAGAGAATGAAAACATTCATAGATGGGTTTTGATGGCTGAAGAGTCATTGTTTTTTAAGAGATCTTCTAGAAATTAAAAGTAACTGAGATTTTTTGCAAAAAATGTGTATCCATCACAACGGCAACAGTAGTGAAACTTCTTGTCGGCGAGTTTCCTATATTTCATATACTTTATCTTATTTATCATGTATATTGTGCCAATAAATTTGAGGAGAATTGAATAGTAGAATTTTTTTTATATGATGTACACATTTAGAGCTATGAAAACAATTCAAGACTATGACCTTATGTATATTTAACGAACAGTGAAGTAGGGAACATAAATTGAATACTATTTTTAATAAGAATACGGTTTTGTTTGTTTCAGAGTGTTTTAAAATAAAAATTCCGTCTTTATCGAGAAAGAAAGTAAGCAAAATGTGCTGAATATTACCTTTACCTCTTTCATACTTTTTTTGAATCTTCTTGGCAGAAGGACGCAACGGTTCCAATGAATCCTGGTTTATATCAGAGAGAGAAAATCGATGTATTTTTACTCGTAATTGTGTAATAAGCCTTGCGTATGTTTTTTTGGAAATACAGTCCTTAATCTGATAACATTATGATCGTCCTAAAATTTATTTTACCGGGTGAAAAATTTCATGACACATATCTGACACGGTATCTCAGACCTTTATTTTTTTTCGTATTTTTTATATTTCAAGAAGTCTGTAATTCCAGAAAGAAAAGTCAAAAATGAGAAAATAAAACTTGAGTGTGATATTGTTCAATTATCCAAATAATTGTAGTAAAATTTTCGGCTCGATCAGGTGAAGTTTTGTTGAGGTCATAATGTAACTATCAGTTTTGAACATTGCAGGTAACTTTAGATAGGTCACTTCTTTTACGACATGTTCAACCATCCTAATATCTCTGCGAAAAACCGGTATGTAATTTTCAATCCATATGTTATTATACACTCATATATACAATATTTATCAGATATTTGTTTATTATTATTTATTGGTTTTTCTTAGAACTTCTACTAGCTCAAATCCATCATCTAATCAATTTTATCCATCTCTTACTTTTTCACCACTATTATGCACAAATAAGTTCTAATTCATTAGAATTGGTTCACACTCTGCTTTCAATTGACTATGCAGCAAATGGGATGACTAAAGAACATTGGCGTTTATAAGATTCTTTAGAAAGAAAAACACTTTAAAATATGTTTTTTAACCAAAAATGCGATACGTAATGCGAAATATAAACTTCGATAAGATAGAAAATATTTATATTTTTACTGAATATAAATTGAGCAACAAACTAAAGGCTATCGAGAAGAAAAGCTTTAAGTTTTACAATGTGATGAGAGAATTTCTAATAAATACGGATTAAACATAAGAATCTTCACCGTCCTCGATTAAATAGATTCAAAATTCAACAGTGATTCGAAAACGAATTCAAAATATTATCAAAAGAAGAAAAAGGTTGCTACAAAATAATAATTGCACAAGAAAAAAATGGAATGTTTTTTGAAGAAAAAAAAATTCTCGAACAAAAAGTGAGACACACCAAGCCTCCATAATTGCAAAAATAGTCATTCTTATAAAGAACCTTACGTATAAAAACTTGTGGAATGAGAACGTTACCGAGTAGAAATAAATCGAAATAGTTATCAAAGAAAAACAAATAAAAAATTGAATGAGATTGATTACTAAAATATATACACAAATATACACATTTAAGTAGAGATAAAAAACAAAAATGAGTATATAAAAGATGTTTAAATGAGTAAATGTATAAAAAAACATGATTAGAGTAGAAAAAACATTATATAAAATATTTGAAATGATTTCGGACGGGAAAGATTGCATTTGATTTTGTTTGTAAGATATAAGATGTATACAATAGTTAAGAAAACCATTGGACGGGAACCCATTGTGGTTCGGCACTAAGCGCTTCAACAGCTCGAACAAGTCTAGAAGAGAAAGAAAAATATTTATCGTAAATAGTTTAAACAACATGATGTAAGTAATTTTTACACGTGTATTATTCTAAGGAGTTTTATTCTACGGTCATATGTAGATCGTAGGTACATGAATATTTTTTGACAATATGATAATTATTAGCAGAAAATTGTCAAAATGACGTTACATACTGTTCAAATGTTTTTTCCATATCATCCGCAGTAATTGTCAAATCAAAGTAAGCATGATAATCACGTTCGATGGCATCACTTTCAAGTACAACTTGTTCCAAATCTCTGGACTATTATAATAGAGAAATAGAAAAACAAAATAATTATCAACAAAAAATCAATAATGCATACCGAGAGATTCATAAGCGAATTGTTTCTCATAGTACTTTTCTAAAAAAGAAATGAGAAATATTGTTTATTATATATTCTTATTCTGATTGATGCTCTCTACAAACTGTTTTCATTTTTGTGTGTCGTTTATCATTTTGCATATATCTGAGGAAGTCAAGATTAGGTGCTTTAATAAACACAACGTAGGGCATAAATTCTTTGTTATTAATTAATTTCAATGCCTAAAAGATCAAAAAAGAATAATAATAATATATAGATTATTAACAAATATTTTTAAGGTTTCCGAGTTACCGTTGGTTCAATATCTAAAATACACATTTTTCCAGATGTAATTACACTTCGAACAGTATCAAATTTTGTTCCATACAAATGTTCACTATATTCTCCCGATTCTAAATACTCTCCATTTTCCATGTCTTGTTCCATTTCATCCCGACTGGTAAATATATAATTATGCCCGCCCTCATCATCTCGTTTCGGTCTCGAAGTATCTGAAGAGAAGAAAACACGTTATTTTTTATTGATTAATCAATTAAAACGAAAAAAGACCTACGTGGTTTTGTTGTTCCAAATCGCTCTGGATCTAAACTCAGTAATTTACTTTTTAATGTACGTCGGCCTACACCATGACATCCAATTAAAACGAGACATTTTCGCTGAAATGGAGGCATTCGTGCCACCTCTTGGTACAAGCGAATGTCACCTTTATCAAATATTGAACTGTCTTTAACATTGAACAAATAACGTTTCTTTTTACGACGATCAATCAGGCCACAAACAACTAGAACACAAGCAATAGCCAATCAATGACCGAGAGTAGAAAGTAAAGTGAAGAAACTTATCTCTACGTATATTTTTCTACTTCTCAAAATGAACTCTTTGTGTGGGGTAGATCCATCAATAATCTCCCGTTTTATACAAACGTCTCTCAGAACGATGTGAAAATTTCACGTTCGTAGCACTCAACACACTGACTCGAGCAGTAAAGAAGTTGAAAATATTTAACAGTGACACACAAACTATAGCTTTTTCATTCTTAAGCAAGCATAAAACCTACATTTCTCCTTGACCAAGATCTTCACACATATTCGTATGTCATCTAGCATCGTCGTTGCCTCTACTCATAGAGTATAGAGTGAAATATTTGCCGAAGCGTTTTGCAAATTTTTCGTACGATTAATGAGTTTTACGAGCAGACTGCAGAAAAGACCTCGTCAGTTTTTAGTCAAAATTCGCTCAAAATTCATTCCAGTTTTACTCTTAAAAGCTGCCCGCCACCACAGTCTTTCTATTTCACATAAATTAATTAGAAATATTTTTATCCTAACTACTAGAAAAAAATTTTTTTGTTCATGTGCACCTAATGTCAATAAAAATCAAATGTTTTCACTCATTTTCTGCTTCTAATACAAACTAACACCATATTTGTAATCTAAGAATAAAACTGCATCGAATAGGCCATTTTAGAAGTGTTCACTGTCTTACATCCAACACCTATGAAAAACCACGACGTTGAGATATCTTTTTGCAATTGAAGTGCATAATCGAGTACAAATGCGCTGAGTAATAATAAAATAGGCATGAGTCCTGTTTTGTAGAGCTTTTTCTCCACTGCAAAATCCAAATTTAGATATTTCTTATTCGAAGTAAGAACTTCTTTTATATTTATTTCATTCTTAAGATGTCTCACAAGAATGTTTAACCGTCAAAAGAACAGAACAGTTTGAAAATGTTAAACAGAAACAGATAAGATATTCTTCTGCCAGGTGGAGGAATGAAATATTATCTGCTATCGATAACCATTTTCGACGAATCGATATTTCGTTAGAAGCGATTTTTTTGGATAGTGAATTCTGTTTTTCTAACAAATCAATTAGTTTTTGTACAATTAACTGATGTCCCGGATCATTTGTGTCGTAGATAACAGATCTGCATTGGTTGAGACAGGCCGTTACTATTTTAATTAACTGACTAATGCGTTATAAAAATGTGTTCTCTATTCAATTTCAGATAGAGGCAACGACGATGCTAGATGACATACGAATATGTGTGAAGATCTTGGTCAAGGAGAAATGTAGGTTTTATGCTTGCTTAAGAATGAAAAAGCTATAGTTTGTGTGTCACTGTTAAATATTTTCAACTTCTTTACTACTCGAGTCAGTGTGTTGAGTGCTACGAACGTGAAATTTTCACATCGTTCTGAGAGACGTTTGTATAAAACGGGACATTATCGGTGGATGTCGCTTGTGCCGCTACTCCGCACTTCAACGATTATTTGCTCAAACAAATTGTTGGAAAACATTTTTTAACGTATATTAAAAAGGAAAATTAAAGAAGAATTATGGCATGTGGCTGAACGGGCAAATTTAGTATTATATTGGTTGTATTAGAGCACTTCTAAGAGCTACAAATCAAAGTGTTTGAGAATCATGATGGTATTGTAGTTAAATATCTAGTATACGCACGTGATGTTTTTGACAAGTCATTTTCAGGTGGAACAAACGCTTTGCGCCGTTCTTCGAGATATTGCGATGGTATAAGTCCTTTTTGACTCGGATCCTTAACATGTCGGGCCTAAAAACGTCTCTCATATAATTAGGGTATAAAAAAATAAGCAAAGCAATGTATTACCTGCCACCAGTGCACATCTTCTTGACTTAATATTTGTAATATATCCCCTTCATCGAACTGTAAACCTGCTTCTCTAGCCGGTATGAGTTTATCTTTAAGGGGATCATACGCAAAATGTGCACGTACATAAAGCTGAAAGGTAAACAGTAAGTTATGTTCAAGTATAAAACATAAGCTGATTTTGTTCTATGTTTATCTAAGTATACCTGAGACGGAGACGGTAAGTCATAATCACTTGGCACAACTTTAAAAGTAACAGCACCTCTTGCGCTTCTCAATTTATCTTGTAAGTCTTCCGGCGTATGAACAACCTCACCGTTCATTTCTTTTATAATATCGCCCACATGCAACAGTCCTACAAAAAAGATGAACATCATTAAAATAATTGGACAGACCGAGCTAACAAGAAAAACGTCTTCCAGTAGACGATTAGAAACGAAACTATACACAACGGAAAGTTTAATGCGCCAACAAAATATGTATAAAGCTGAATAACCAGTGACGTAGCCACACGGGGGATTGTGGGGATCGACCTCCTGACCTGTTTTTCTTACAAAAGTCGTTCTACGGAACAAAACTTAATAATTTTTTTATAATAATTGAAAATGGTGACTCTGAAACAAGTGGTGTTGCGCGAAGTTATGAAAAAGCATTAACTGATATTGATTTTGCTATACCTCTTATTATTGTTAATCGTGTATTTTGTATTATTAAACCATATGCTGAACAGTTTCAAAAGCCCACATGTGATCTTGTTAAATGTTATCAAAGTATAGAACAAGTCTCAATATATTAATTCTAGCTGAATTAATTTATGATGATGATCCATTACATGAACTTTATAATGAATTTACTACATTTATTGAACATAATGAGATTGATAATCGTTTATCACGAGCAGCATGTCGCCGTTATCAAACAGTCAAAGATTATTTTGTAGACGTAAGGAATTTTTACATATGTTTATAAACAGTTCCATTAACACAAAACCTTTTGTCTTCTAGGTATACAAAACATTCATCAACATGACGATTGAAGAACTTGGAAGAAGGTTTACCGAACATCAAAGGATTGCTATGAATATCTCAAATTTAATCCCGTCATATATTGTTAATACCTGATTTTCCGATGTTTCAACATTATTCAATCATTACAAAAATGATTCACAGACTGATCATTCTAGTATTCGCAAGGCTGAATTCGACACATGGAAATTTTCAGTTCTGCAAATGCAAGAAGATGAATGACCAAGTACAATCCATGAAACATTAAAAATTATGCAACCTGTTAAATTCATTTATCCAAATATTTACATTCTACTTCAACTTTATGCACTTATTCCAGTGTCCGTAGCTGGTGCAGAGCGCTTGAAACTAATCAAACGAAACTTCGCAATTGAACAGGTGATCACCGACTGAGTGATTTAGCTGTTATCAGTGTTAATAAAAACGTCGCTCAAGAATTGAATATCGAAAATGTTATTGATGAATTTGCTAAATCCAAACGTAAAATAAATTTTACGAATGAACCAAATTAATTGTTTTGCTCATCATGTCTTTTCTTTCTTTCGACTTTCTTCTTGTAAAAGTCATAGTTATATATAAGTCAAGATAAGCAAGAATAAATCCTAAAAAATTCACCAAGATAAAAAATAGTCCTACGGAAAATCGACGATTTTCCATAGGACTATTTTTTCGATTTTAAATCGATAAAAGGAAATTTGATTCCCCCCACTCCAAAAATCCTGGCTATATCATGTCACTGTGAATAACAATTCAATAGTATTTTGCATACTATCTGCATACACGTATGGATATGAAAAACCTGCTGTAAAATATGATAAACAAAAAGGTAGTTGCATTTTCCTTAGCGCTACTTAAATAAAAACAACAATACTATGCCGTAAAAGACCTTATGCCCTACAAAGGAGGGAAGCGGATATAGGGGTTTTGTGGCCTCAATTTTTTTCGAATAAAAATTACATGGTTGAACTCAGCATCAAATTCTGAACAAAACTGTCGCTTCAGATTTTC